TTATTACACTTCAGTCCTTCATCACATCCGAAGTATAGAGGACTTACTTTAATCGGGCAAAAATTATCAATCCAGATTTATCAAAATTAAGAGGTTTTATGCGCAATCCATTCTGAAAAACAGGGCTTTGCAATGCTGTCCGTATGTCTGTGTGTCTGTCTGTCTGTGTGTCTGTCTGTGTGTAAACACGATAACTTGAGTACCGTTACAGCTAGGTTGATGAAATTTCATATATAAGTATTTTATCAAAATCGTAGATCCGTATCAACTTTTGAGCGATTTCCGATAACCGGAAGTGGTACTTTTTGTACTTTGAATTTTTCAAAAGCCTATAACTTGAGTACTATTTAAGATAGATAAATGAAATTTCACATGTAAGTAAAAGATCTAATTCTCTTTGTTCTGTCAAATTTTGAGTAATTTCCGTTGACGGGAAGTACTAATTTACGCTATTTCCGATTTCTCAAAAACGCATATAAATTTATAACGTACTAATAATATTGCGCAATACTTTTTTCTATAAGATTCTATTCTATTTTTAAAAGTTTAAGTATTTAAAATGGATTAAAAATCATGTCTATAGCCAGAGTTCCCATCCCCTGTTGTTTTATATAAGAATATTCGAGAAAGTTTAGGGGAGATCACTCCCGGTTTATTTTCAGAGCGATTATGAACATACTTGTAGCTAGATTATGTATCAAATAGGAAAAGAATGTCTACTATTGACGTACAAGAGTTTTTTAAAGGTACAGTGAAATCAGGATTTCGTTCAGTCTTTTAGACATTTTTCTTCGCCGGGGGGGGGGGGGGGCGGACACTGGTTATAGAATATATTTTCTGTTTAATCTATTTTTTACTTCGTCCGTTGTAGTAGTCGCGCCCTCCTCCACCGCCCCCCCCCCCCCCTTCCTCGGGGTGCTGCCTGAAAGACACTGAGTGAAGTGGAGGGAAAATCGAATAAACAGCGATTTTGTTACTTTTATTATATTAACAGTCAGTTAACTTTCAATAGAAAATTCTAAATTTTCAAAGAAAAATCCTGGAATTTTAGTTTGGTAAAATTAAAAATATCAGTCTCGATTTTAGCAGCTACACGTGTTCTAAATATAAATACATGACGTCATTAACAATCCGTGAGCTAATAGCGGTTTCTGTGGCAACCGACGAAAGCTTTTAACACTTTTGCTGCCAGAACCACAAAGGAAAAATGAAAGGTTAGATCATAACTAAAGACAATTTGTAAATGACCAAACTACAAGAATACAAATTAAAAGATTTAAAAGATTTAAAAACTGCATGAAGACTTTTTTAAAGTAATGACTGGTGTAGAAGTACACACGAAAGCCTTTATCTCTAAAGCTAACTATAATCTTTATTACTTAAAAAAACTTCGCCTTTTTACCTATTTTTTTCTCTCTTTCTTTGACTAACAAATATATTATGTAAATCCACTATGTTTTAGTAGGGGTAGAAATGTTCGTCTGTAATCTGACCTAATCCAGACTTATTCCCCCACATACCACCACCGTGTGTAGAGATGGTCGCTAATCCTGGGCGGTGGAGGGTTAACCTGAGCAAATTAAATGATTATCGCGATGAAGATTCAACATGAAAGAAACCACGTGGACACGCATGATTTCATCCGGTGCCGCGGGCAAATATTTCTTCGTGTGTCTGAGTTTGTAATGAGAGGACCTAGTGTCGGCATCCTTCTTTGATGTTTATCCATATAAATTATTCCATATTTTATCGAGTCTTAATTAATTTCTTCATGACATCACCGATGTGTCATCCGATTTTGAAAATTTAAAAAGAAAAATCATGTTAAGCGCCCAGTTTTATGTGTGGTTATTTAGCTAAGTTAAAATACAAGAGGCGAAGCTTGATTTGGATAGGGGTGGGCGGAGTGGGGTGGGGGGTGTCATTACCATCAGATAAATAAGCTTTTATAGGCAGTAGTTGAACCAGTATGTTATGTAGGTGGTTGGTACAGATGGTATTTGAACCAGTATGTTATGTAGGTGGTTGGTACAGATGGTATTTGAACCTATATGTTATGTATGTGGTTGGTACAGATGGTATTTGAACCAATATGTCACGCATGTTGTTGGTACAATTGGTATTTGAACCTATACGTTATGTATGTGGTTGGTACAGATGGTATTTGAACCAGTATGGTATGTATGTGGTTGGTACAGATGGTATTTGAACCAGTATGTTATGTAGGTGGTTGGTACAGATGGTATTTGAACCAGTATGTTATGTAGGTGGTTGGTACAGATGGTATTTGAACCTATATGTTATGTATGTGGTTGGTACAGATGGTATTTGAACCAATATGTCACGCATGTTGTTGGTACAATTGGTATTTGAACCTATACGTTATGTATGTGGTTGGTACAGATGGTATTTGAACCAGTATGGTATGTATGTGGTTGGTACAGATGGTATTTGAACCAGTATGTTATGTAGGTGGTTGGTACAGATGGTATTTGAACCAGTATGGTATGTATGTGGTTGGTACAGATGGTATTTGAACCAGTATGGTATGTATGTGGTTGGTACAGATGGTATTTGAACCAGTATGTTATGTAGGTGGTTGGTACAGATGGTATTTGAACCAGTATGTTATGTAGGTGGTTGGTACAGATGGTATTTGAACCAGTATGTTATGTAGGTGGTTGGTACAGATGGTATTTGAACCAGTATGGTATGTATGTGGTTGGTACAGATGGTATTTGAACCTATATGTTATGTATGTGGTTGGTACAGATGGTATTTGAACCCGTATGTTATGTAGATGGTTGGTACAGATGGTATTTGAACCAGTATGTTATGTAGGTGGTTGGTACAGATGGTATTTGAACCTATATGTTATGTATGTGGTTGGTACAGATGGTATTTGAACCAGTATGTTATGTAGGTGGTTGGTACAGATGGTATTTGAACCAGTATGTTATGTAGGTGGTTGGTACAGAGGGTATTTGAACCAGTATGTTATGTAGGTGGTTGATACAGATGGTATTTGAACCAGTATGTTATGTAGGTGGTTGGTAAAGATGGTATTTGAACCAGTATGGTATGTATGTGGTTGGTACAGATGGTATTTGAACCAGTATGTTATGTAGGTGGTTGGTACAGATGGTATTTGAACCAGTATGTTATGTAGGTGGTTGGTACAGATGGTATTTGAACCAGTATGTTATGTAGGTGGTTGGTACAGATGGTATTTGAACCAGTATGGTATGTATGTGGTTGGTACAGATGGTATTTGAACCTATATGTTATGTATGTGGTTGGTACAGATGGTATTTGAACCAGTATGTTATGTAGGTGGTTGGTACAGATGGTATTTAAACCAGTATGTTATGTAGGTGGTTGGTACAGATGGTATTTGAACCAGTATGTTATGTAGGTGGTTGGTACAGAGGGTATTTGAACCAGTATGTTATGTAGGTGGTTGGTACAGAGGGTATTTGAACCAGTATGTTATGTAGGTGGTTGGTACAGATGGTATTTGAACCAGTATGGTATGTAGGTGGTTGGTACAGAGGGTATTTGTACTAGTATGTTATGTAGGTGGTTGGTACAGAGGGTATTTAAACCAGTATGTTATGTAGGTGGTTGGTACAGAGGGTATTTGTACTAGTATGTTATGTAGGTGGTTGGTACAGAGGGTATTGGAAACAATATGTTATGTATGTGGTTGGTACAGATGGTATTTAAACCAGTATGTTATGTAGGTGGTTGGTACAGAGGGTATTTGTACTAGTATGTTATGTAGGTGGTTGGTACAGAGGGTATTGGAAACAATATGTTATGTATGTGGTTGGTACAGATGGTATTTGAACCAGTATGTTATAGGCCTGACAACCAAATTGCCGCAGCAGTAGTAGTAGTGTCTAATTCAAATTTTTTGAATTACTGAAAAGTTGAAAATGAAGCATCTAAATAGCGGAGTATGCTACGCCACGGGTCGGCTGGTTTTTAATATTTAAGAAGCTTTAGAAAAAAAAATATCGAGATGTGAATACATTGGTGAATATGGATTTTCATCTCTTGTGCATGAATCGTCTTACTAGCAAAAGAAATGGTGCATGCGTAATACTACATGTATGCTCAAAATTAGTTTGTAATTTTAAAATCAACACACTTACCAGTACAGAAGAACTTCATTCTCTATATGGTACGATGATTTGAAGTATATTTATTTAAATAAACAAACTCGAAACTTCTTGACTGGATTAGTCAAGTTAAAACCTATAAAGTGATGTTTAAGACATTGTCTATACCAGGGGTCTCCAAACTACGGCCCGAGGGCCGGATGCGGCTCGCGAAGTCCTCTTATCCGGCCCGCGGAGATCTTTTTGTCCAAGGAAAAAACGTTTGTTGGTGATGGCTGAGGAAATTTGCCCAGAAAAATCAAAGACACACTTGTTGAAGAAACTGGCCCCCGAACTGAAATTTGATAGTTAATGCGGCCCTCGGAATGAAAAGTTTGGAGATCCCTGGTCTATACGGTTGAAGGGGGCGGTAGAGGAGGGGGGGGGGGGGGGGGGTAATGAAACCCACAACTTATTTATGGTCATGAAGTTCAAAATATTCAAAATTGTTTTTATATTATTATTTTTTCTTCTTGTGTTGCTACTTGATTTGAAGCTTTAATTTTTGTTAAAAAATAGCTGACTACATACTCCGACATGAACCAGAATACGACATATTTCACGTGTACAGCGAAGTGTTACGTTTAGACAGATTACTGCATAAAGTGTTACATACATTCAGACATACATTCAGACCTTACATATAGAGCTACATACATTGAGAACTTAAATAAAGTGTAACATACAGACAGATTTTAGATAAATTTTAACATACAAACAGATCTTACATAAACTGTTACATACAGACAAAACTTAAATAAAGTTTAATTGACGAACAGATCGTACGTAACATACAGATAGATCTTATATACAGAGTCACATACAATCATAACTTACATAGAGGATCTAATACGGAGTCCGATTCATTTTCTTGTACGCGTGTAGATAAAATTTCACCAACTTGGGGTGTGATGCCTAAAATACGATCGACCGAGAATTTCAGGTCGAGATTCGATCCCACGTCTTTGGGCTTGCTGACGTGTGGAAAGTGCGGCGTTCTGCGAGTGGTCTCCAGCCCTGCTTCTGGTGCCACATCTTGGTCAAGTGGTAGAGTGGACACAGGGTTGCTTGAAGCACGCCCACGACTCTCTGGGTAAAATGTTCTCCGTTTTGCTACGGCTGGTGGGGTGGTCTTCCTCGCGGTGACGTCATGTGACGTGGGGTCATCATATGACCCGGGTTGACCTTTTGTTGGACTGGTACAGGGGTCGTAGTCTTCATCGTCGCTGGTTCCGTTTGGCAAGGTCAGGGTCACGTCCTCTGGTAGACTGTTGGTGTCCTCGTCGCTTGCCGCGTCCATCACGTCATCGTGTTGATGTTCCGGACTGTGGGGCTCGTGGAATCTTCTCCAAAACGGGGGAGGGGGATTGTGTGGGGTTGACGAGGGATTGTGAGTGTGTAAGGGTGACGTGGGGTGGTGAGTGTGTGGGGTGGGTAGGGGGTGGTGCTTGTGTGAGGTGGGTGGGGGAAGACAATCATATAGCGTGGGGCTACTTCTATGAACTAAGCAACCTAAAGAAGCTGGTTTTGTGTGAAGTTTTTCAAATCGTTTATGTTTTACGCCAGCATTGTCATGAAGGCTTCCTACTGTCTTTGAAGATTCCCCGGGTAAAAATTTTCCAGAATTCGGATCGTGAAAAAATTTTGACTCTAGAGGCAAGTGGGTGTGAAATGGATCCGATCCCTCCCATGTATGTACCGGCCGTGTATTAAACACATAGTCCATGCTCGTCATGTTTTTTATAGACTCACACGGGCAAGGAATCCTCTCAAAAAGTAACGGGTTGTGTGATGACGTAGACTGTGACGTACTACACAGACCAACGCATTGGTTTGTGTTGTCCAGAATCTGACCTGACTCGACCAAGTTGAGAAACGACAGCTGTTTGTCCACGTAGGACTCCTTGATGTTTTTCCAGGTGGTCTGCTGGTGCAGCTGGTACCGGATGTGGTGCTTCAGGAGATGCCCGCCCACCAGCATCTGGTGCTGTGTGGAGAAGGGGCCGAGTGGGTAGGGGAAGAAAAAGGGCGACAACTGCGGTGAGATGATGTGAGAGTTAGCGGACCTGAGCAAAGGGTTATCCAACGTTGAGGGTTCAAAGTTCGCCATTGTGGCCTGGTAGATGCCAGATCTGTGTGCCAGAAGACGGGAGTCACGTGACTTGAGAAACAAATTTGTAAAAATTATATTAAAAGCATTATAAAATTTTAAATAAAACATATTTATCGAAAAGATGTGTTGTTCTAAACCTTTTTGGGGGTACCGAACCACCAGTTTTATATGTGCATTCACCGAACATCTTCTTAATAAATCTATCGTTCACCCTTACAAAATATCCGATTATGAATCATATGAGTCGGGTGTGTGTCTTGACCTCCTGCATACCCCTGAGACTGACTCACCGAACCCCCGGGGTTCGATTGAACCTAGGTTCAGAACCTCTGGAATAGATCTAAGTGTTACAGAAATCTCTAAATTAAAGCAGTAAATATTGTCTCGAGAATCAAGACTTAATGTGAGCAGTGCAGTAACACAAATATGCAAGAACACTATACATCTTATGTAACTTACAGTTTAATTCATTAAAAGGCTTTTGTAAGTGTTACATAACACGAGAGATAAAGGCTACCATTTCGCTACGGCTTTATATATACAATTATCATATCAGTGGTAGCCAAGTGGTATAGGGCAAAGTTATATAACAATGTAATTTTCTTTATTCTTAGTTAGATCAATAAGTTAAATCACAATACTAAGAATTTTTTTCTACTCAATTTACAAGACCAAGGCTTGACTGTTCGTTTGTCTAAAGATTAAAAAATGAGCTTTCAGTAAAATAGTGAATTTTCTGTCATTTATTTTTAAAATCTACCCCGTGTATACAAGTCAATTGTACGGAAAAGGTAGTGGGGTGAGGGCTAGACATCTTCTATTGTAGTCGTGAAGATTAAAAACATTGCTGTTGTAACGTGGAGAGTTAAATGTCCCGTTTATTGAGTTCTATAATAAATTTATTATCTCTAAATGTGCTAGGTTGAAATGAATGTTGATTGGGAATTTTAAATAGAATCATTAGAATAAACGGTAAGAGGCTTTGGAAAGAGAACAAATTACTAATTATTATTATTTTAATTTTTTTAAATTTCTAGCTCATTGTAAAAATGTAAATGTTTAACCTAGTTAAACATTGCATTTAACATGTATTCGCGATATGTCTCTTAAGAATTAATTAACATTAAACGATTTTCAAATCAACAATTGTAGACGTGTTTAATAGTTTCTTTGACTAAGTGTGTTCAATTTGATCATTAACAACATGCGATAATTTAACAACACTTATTCAAGCGTCACCTTATTTTCAAAAAGCGAATATTGTTTCCTTTTTAAGTTGTAAATATTTTTGTTGAGAGCGGCCAATCTTTAACACAATATTGATTCGGTATAGACTGAAAACAATCTTGACAAAAAAAGCACTGAATCAAAAGCTTCGAACATTGTGGTTTCCGAGAATGCACCCCCCCTCCTCACCCCTGCACAAAATATTATTACTATTGGCGTTTATTGACTGGTCCGCCTTTCAACAATGTTGATACCTAAGTATCTTTGTTCTGCCGCCGCATACTATTCGCCTCTATTCCGATACATTTATCGGAATCTTTATTTACGCCGATTTAATATCTGATTCAACTAACCCAGACCCTAACCCAGATCCTAACCCAGACCCTAACCCAGACCCTAACCCAGACCCTAATCCAGACCCTAATCCAGCTTCATGTATAAACTGACATTACACGTCATAGCTTCATGTATAAACTGACATTACACGTCATAGCTTCATGTATAAACTGACATTACACGTCATAGCTTCATGTATAAACTGACATTACACGTCATAGCTTCATGTATAAACTGACATTACACGTCATAGCTTCATGTATAAACTGACATTACACGTCATAGCTTCATGTATAAACTGACATTACACGTCATAAGTTTACTTGTTAGCTGACATTATATGTTATTGCTTCATCTGTACGCGGAAAATCGACGACTGAAAAACTAGCGGAGAATTGTAACAGATCAAATAAACTAGCGGAGAATAGTAACAGATCAAATAAACTAGCGGAGAATTGTAACAGATCAAATAAACTAGCGGAGAATAGTAACAGATCAAATAAACTAGCGGAGAATTGTAACAGATCAAATAAACTGGCGGTGAATTGTAACAGATCAAATAAACTGGCGGTGAATTGTTTATCAATTTTTATTTTATTTTTATTTATGAGCTAACCTCATTTTCCCCAACTGGAAAAAAAATTAGAACTTCAGTCCGTTGATTAAATTTGATATTTTGTGGTTAGCAGTTGCGTACTCTTTTAATATGAGATATCCTAAACGCCACAGTTTAGAATAAATCGACTACTGGATTTGTAAGAACACTAAAGCGCGCACATGTATGTTGGAGACAAATGAATAAGCTCGTGCCTGATTAGCAATCAATGAAACAGCTGGCATAATTTAAATGCGCGGATCGCATCAAAAATATTTCAATTTCGACAGGCTAGCAAGCAGGGGCGGAACTACCATACCGCCAGACCCCACAATGCGGGGGGGGGGGGGCCAGGACGTTTAGGGGCCCAGTTCCGACCAAAAAACAATGCATTTTTTTTTCAAAAATTATGTTTTCATGCATCTTGAAAGTGGTTTTGTAAAAAAAAATTTTAAAAATAGGTCTACTATAGCAGAGATTATTGCGTAGAAAAATATTTTAAAATCTACAAGAGCTATAGTTTGAAAGGTTTAGGGTTATAAAAATAATTGTTTTCAAAATTGATATTATAAAAGCCAAAAATGAAAAAAATAAACATAACGCGAGAAACCATTCACGAATCAAGCTAACGTCTTTATATATTTTTGACCAGCATGTTTAAGACACTATCTTTAACTCAAAATGAGTTTGGACTAAATTTTTTTCTGTTTTGTTCTCTCAGAATGGTTATATATTGCAAAGAAGTAGACTAAATTACTCAGTTAGGATATAGATCATATATATATATATATATATATATATATATATATATATATATATATATATATATATATATATATATATATATATAGGTGGCCCCAGATTTTTCTTTGCGGGGGAGCCTTTGATTTCTAGTTCCGCCACTGCTAGCAAGTATTAAACCATTCAAAATAAATTGATTTAAAATCATTGTCTATTAGCGGCAAATAATTGCCGGACGAGTCCTTTATTTATAGCCTTGTTTAACACAAAGGGAGACGATAGACGTGAGTAATGTTTAAAGTTGACAAGTTTCTAGTCTATAAATAACATGAACACTGAACAAAAAAATAATAATTTTATGTAGTCTAGTATTATATTTTGTTTAGCCCAACTTGTACTAATTAAAATTTAATTATTTTTCAATATTACTTCAAAATTTAGTCATCGAAATATTGAATTCATTTTTTTTCTTCTTTATCATTACTCAATGTGGACATGCTTTATAACTGATATAGTATGCTTACATTAATTGATATTGTGTATATATTACCTCCACTGTTACATAGGAAACATGATAAAAGACCTAATGGGATTTTTAAAAGGTGCCAAGACAGCTTCCGTTTTTGTTGAAATGTACTTCTAACTTAAGTAGCCTAATGTATTAAATTTTTTTTAACTCTCTATAGGGCTCGCATTACAATATAAATAGAAACTATAAGTAAATATCAGAGAATAAATATTGGATACCCGATAAGAATTCAGTAATAGTTTACTAATAACAAAGATAGAGACTTATGTAGGATTTGGATTTAAGTTAACCAACCATCCTCTTCAAACATAAATATAGGAAACAAATGCGGCTCAAAAACCGACCAGTTACAATAGCCCTAATAATGACATAATCGTCGCAGGGCCCTCGAAGATGGGGCCCCAACAGTGCCGGCGCCAGGTTATTTAGCGCCCTAGGCAAACTTATTAAAAGCGCCCCCCCCCCCCCCCCCGCAATTTTTTTCGTGCTCCCGGGGACAAACTTTTGATTTGCACCCCCCCCCCCCCAAACTCTATCAATTTGCACCCCCCCCCTTAAAATTTCGATTTGCACCCCCCTCAACCTTTCGATTTGCACCCCCCCTCAAACTTTCAAATTGTTTTTCCAACCCATTTTGGCGCCCCCCTACGGCCAGCGCCCTAGGCGACCGCCTAGTTCGCCTTATTTATAGGTAGCGCCGGCCCAGGGCCCCGCCCAAGCTGAATCTACCCTACTACATGATGAGTATCAGCAATTAGTTGACTTTTACAACTATCGGTTGGTGTATTGAACATTTTAACTTACG